TTATATATAATATAAAAAGTTATATATAATTATATATAATACATATGTGTATGTGTATATATACATACACACATCATGTAACTCACAGCTGAACAGTAATACTATCTACTATGTGTCAGTATTGTTTATGATAAATCATGCATATTAACTCATTTAACATCATGTTGTTCTTATAAAGCAATAGTTTGTAGTACTACTATTATCACCATTTCAAAGATAGGAAGAGTGAGGCTCAGAGAGATTTAATAACTTTTTCTGGGCTCGTAGATGGTAAGTGCAGAGATGAAATTCAAACCTGGGCTGTCTGGCTGTTACAAGACTCTCAACCATTGCCGGACTGGCTATTCGTGACACAAACAGAAAACCAGCTCTAGACTAGGGACAGATCCTGACTATCCCAGATTCTATTGAGCCACGGCAAGGCAATGACAAGTCCCAGGGTCTTTCCTCTGGGGTCTGCAGGCATAGGATGTCTCAGTTAATAGCATGTTGTCTTTAACATCAAAAAGACAAGAGATAAGTGTTGGCAAGGGTGTGGAGAAGGGGGAACTCTTGTACTTTCCTGGTGGGGATGTAAGTTGGCACAGCCATTATGGAAAACAGCATGAAAATTCCTCAAAAAAAATTAAAATGTAACTACCATACTTTCCAGAAATCTCACATCTGATTATATATCCAAAGGAAATGAAAGCAGTATGTCAAAGAGATATCTACACCTCTTGTTCATTGCAGTATTATTCACAACAGCCAAGGGAAACCACCTACATGTCAATTAACAGGTGGATGAATGAAGAAAATGTGATACGCGCCCACCCCCCCACAACACACACACAATGGAATATATTATTCAGCCCTAAAAAAGGACATCTTGTCATTTGGGACAACATGGGTGAACCTAAGGGCATTATGCCAAATGAAATAAGCCAGACACAGAATGACAAATAGTGCACGATATCACTTATATCCATTAAAAAAACCTTGAATTCATAGAAGCAGAGAGTAGAATGGTGGTTGCCAGCAGGTAGGGTGATGAGAGAAATTGGGAGATGGTCAAGGGTGCAAAGCTTCAGTCATAAGATGAGCAAGTGCTGGGCATGGTGACTATTGTTAATCACACTTTCCTGTGTACTTGAAATTTGCTCAGAGAGATCTGAAGTGTCTTTGTCCCCTCCACCCACACAGGAAAAATGACAACTACATGAGATGATGAATATGTTCATTAACTTGATCATGGTAACCACGATGTATGCATGTATCAATTACATTGTATTTATACTTTTACAATTATAAATATATATAAATTTTATATAAAATATAGGCAATAGGCCGTGCACAGTGGCTTACATCTGTAATCCCAGCACTTTGGGACTGAGGTGGGTGGATCATGAGGTCAGGAGTTTGAGACCAGCCTGGTCAACATGGTGAAACCTTGCCTCTACTAAAAATACAAAAATTAGCTGGAGGTGGTGGCACGCACCTGTAATCCCAGCTACTCTGAGGCAGGAGAATCACTTAAACCCGAGAGGCAGAGGTTGCAGTAAGCTGAGACTGTGTCATTCTACTCTAGCCTGGGTGACGGAGTGAGACTCTGTCTCAAATAAATAAATAAATAAATAAATAAATAAATAAATAAAATATATGCAATATATACAAATATAATTGTAAATATATATAAATTATATAATTTTAATGCAATTTTATACAATTGTAATTTTATATTATAAAAATATATGCAATTTTTATTGTTCAATTATATCCAGATAAAGATGGAATATTTTAAAAATAATTTTAAAAATAGAGCATCCCCATCACTTCCTATTTTCTTGTCCTTCTTTATTCTTCTTCAAGAAATTCCTGACATTGTCATGTATTTACATTTATTTATTGCTTATTTTGTGTTTCCCCTGCCAGAATGTAAGCACCACAAGGGTGGAGACTCCACCCTTGGTATGCAGGAGGTGCTCAGTACATATTTGTGGAATCTCCTTTGGTGATTCTAAGGGTCCCTTAAGTAAGAAGGGGTGCAGCAAGAAAGGACTGGACTGCCTTATTTCTGGGGCAGCCGTGACTGCCAGAATTATGAATGATTCCCAGGCAAAAGAGAGATAATGAATGAATGGAGACAGGATACCTCCCCAGTGAGGGGATGGGGTTATCCATGGTCCTGAACACAGAGGAGAGGGACAGGCCCCCTTGTCCAGGTGGGTGCCATTCACTGAAACCTCTCAGTGGCAATGTTCTGGAGAAACAAGAAAGGTCTCTCAGAAGATCCTGAGCCCTGGATGACTCTGAAGTGCTGATTCCTTTCTCAAGCCCTTGCAAACCTGGATAGGAAAGAGTCCCCATTTCTGGCACTGACAACAGAGGTTCAGTGTGCAGTGCAAATGCTGGACTCACAGAAGAAGGAGAGCTTGTAGAGGAGTGTAGGTGACAAGGTAGGAAGCTAGGTTCTTCGGCAAGTCAGTAGAGCATGGTGTTGAGTCATCTGAGACTCCAAAGTCTCAGCAGTTGGGACCAGGGAGGTCTATCAAGAGACTTGTCCTCATTGTTCCTCAATTTCTTCATCTGTCAAATGGGAAAATAATAATACCTACCTCAAAGGATTGTTGCAAAATCGAAGTGGGTAGCATATGTGAAATGTTTAGGGCAGTGTCTGACAGACAGCAAGTATGATGAAAACATTACCTGGAATGATGGCTACAGCATCTGCTTCTGTTCTTGCTGACCATAAGGAGCCAATGTGGAAAACAGGGCCAGGCTTAGGGGCATGGGAACCTCTGGACAGGAAATCTGGCTCCAGAGCCAGCCATCCTCACCAATATGTTCTGCCACCTTCCCATGAGAGGCAGGATGGATTGGCGATCAAGACCAGAGGCCAGAGAGTCAGCTGAACCTGCATTTGAATCCTGATTCCACTGTTTCCTAGCAGTGTGTGTATTTGGGTTTGCACTGAACCTCTCTGTACCTCAGTGTCCTTGTCTTAAAATGGGAATATTAATAGTATCCACCTCACAGGTAAAATATTTAAAACAACATTCAGTGTTAGCTTGTATTGAATAACATGGGTGGTAGAGAGCCTAGGCTCCTCAGCTCTGCAGAAACAAGGCTATAAATGGACCTTTATAAACTGCTGGAATCAGCTCTCCTTGTTTTGCGGGAATGCAGCTGCTACTCCTCCTGAGGTTCCCGTTTAGATCATGGACGGCATTTCCAAAGGCTGGCCACTAGATGGCACACATGCTCTTTCCTTCTCCATCTAAGCAGTTCAGAACCACGAATAACCGGTATCAGATGGAAAATCACCTTTCATGTGCCAGACACTGAGCGGCGCCCTTTGCCTGTTTCTCATTCACTGCCCACAACAATCCTCAGATTCAAGGAACTACTGAAGCAGAAATGCTATGCACAGCGCCTGGCACATAAGTCTTCAAAAACATATTTGCGGTTCTTCCTACAGTTGTTTTATTCCGATCTGATGGAGGAGTGACTGAGACACAGAGACGATAAACAGGTAGATGGAGCCTGTATTCTAAGTCAGACCAGATGCTGATTGGAAGTCCAGCATCTTCCCCTCGACCTCATTTCAGGCCTGGAAGCCTTGAGCTCACTTCAAGGTTCCCAGCACATCTATTTTGGCTCTGTGGATTCTTTTTGAATCTTCCACTTTCTTACTCCTGATGTGACCAGCTTTTAGAGTTGGTTTTTAGAGCCTCAGTTTCTTATCCACGCAAGAGGGGTTATAATGCCTTCCTTGTCTTGGAGGTACTTCAGAAATAGCAGCTATATCAGAGCAGGCACTCTGGATGGTGGTTACTGCTTTTAACACCTTAAATGTTAACATACCAGGGTGAGCTCATGACTTTTAAGATGACTTTTCTTTCCCCCTTCCCTCACTCCCTTCCCTTTTCCTTCCTCCCTTCTTTTTCTCTTTATGCCTGGTACAACAAAGTACCCCTGGTTTCTGCCCTCATGGAACTTACACTTGAAAATGTCCTTGTCTCTGTTCATTCCTGGGACAATTTCACCTGCCATATGTCTTGTTTCCTGTGAGCCTCAAGGACGTTGGTGCTGCCACCTGCCCTTCCTGGACTGCTCTCTCGGCAGGACCTGGGTGTTGTAGTCCACCCCACTCAAGCCCAACCCCTTCCCCTCTATGCTGCCTCAGAAGCGAATCTGAAATCCTTTAGGTGCTGTGAGGTGTCTTCACATCCCAACTACCTGACTCCGTTCACTCTGCTTCAACAGTAGCTTTCTGACTGGCTTTGTGATAGAAAGATTTTGCTGCAGTGCCTGGGGCCTTTGGGAGGGAAATACATAATGGGAAGATGGGGTCTCATGAACTTGTTTACATGAGAACAGTCTGGTTTTATATAATTTATATTTTGGGACTGTATGTATTCTGCTGCTAATGGCCGGACACAGTGGCACGTGCCTGTAATCCCAGCACTTTGGGAGCCCAAGGGGCGTGGGGCAGGTCACCTGAGGTCAGGAGTTCGGGACAAGCCTGACCAACATAGTGAAACTCTGTCTCTCCCAAAAAAAAACTGCAAAAATTAGCCAGACATGGTGGCACACTTCTGTAATCCCAGCTACTCAAGAGGCTAAGGCAGGAGAGTAGCTTGAACCCAGGAGGCAGAGGTCACAGTGAGCCAAGATCATGTGCCAATACACTCCAGTCTGCAACAGAGTAAAAAGTAAAATAAAATAAAATAAAAATCTGCTGCTATTGAAAACCATCAAAGAAAACTGCCATGATGGGTGGGAGGGAGATGAGTTTTGAGATAATTCAGAGAAAATCTCCAGGAAAGAGAATGTATTTGGGAATGGATTTTAAAATGGGTTTCTAAGAAAACTGAGTTTAACTTTTGAATAATAGTAATGTGGGGGTTATCTGGAAGCCTACCTGCCATCATCACTGACCAGGATCCCCACTTCTGATCTCAGCGAGGTCTTTGGCGGTGTCGCTCTTCACTCAGTACTTTGCCTTCTCTGTGTTGCAGTGCCCTGGTTCCCAAGAACCATTCAAGAGCTGGACAGATTTGCCAATCAGATTCTCAGCTATGGAGCAGAGCTGGATGCAGACCACCCTGTGAGTTCACAGCACGGAGAATGAGATTCTTTCAGTGCTTCTCCTCCACTCCCCTCCCCTCCTCCTACCTCCTCCACTTGGAGCAATGTGCTTGATCACTTGTTCAACATACACTTACTGTGTTCCTATTTACACGAGGGCTGGGAAAAAATTAACAAGACATTGTCATCATCATTATCATGGCCATCATTATGGTAGGAGCAAATATAAATGACTGTCCAGAAACTCTTATCTCTGTATACTAGATCTGTGTACGCCCAAACACACACACCCATGCAAATCATCACTGTTTCTGCCTGCATACATCTATGGAGGTTTATATCCAGTGCTGGGTAAACAGCAACCTGTGCTAACAACTCTGCCAACTGCAGGGGGCAGCAGGGAGTGGCGACATTGAAACTGGATCTTAACACCTGGTCAGATAAGGAACAGAGAGGGCTTATGGCTGAAAGAACAGTGTATGAGAATACCCAGAGTCCTGGAAGCATCCACAATATTGTGGGAATGACTGGTTGGTGCATTAAGTATGAGAATGAGAGATGGATCTTGGGCAGTGGGTTGGGATCAGATTGTAAAAGGTCTGGTGGACCACAAAGAAGAACATGGACTGGGCCTGTGTCTTGCAGCCATGGGGGTAGGCCCTTTAATGGTTTTTAAGTAGAGGACTGGGGTTAGGGGAATTTCATTGTTCCCTCTACTCTGGGGCAGAGGGTCTGGGGAGGAATAGCCCAGGCTGTGGTGGCTTAGGGCCAGTTCTCACGGCCTCCATCTGTGGGAACGACCACCATCCCATTGCCTGCCCTTTATTCCCTGCCAGGCAAATGGCTCCTTCATCTTTAAATGACTTGCAGCCATTTGTATCAGTAAGGGTTTAGTAGAACTCAGAGGAAGCATCTACACTTCCACTGGAGTCTGTTTTCTCTTCACATCTATGTGGGTCTTTACAATCAGCAAAGAATATTCAGGCCGGGCACAGTGGCTCACGCCTATAATCCCAGCACTTTGGGAGGCCGAGGTGGGTGGATCACGAGGTCAAGAGATCGAGACCATCCTGGTCAACAAGGTGAAACTCCGTCTCTAGTAAAAATACAAAAATTAGCTGGGCATGGTGGTGCGCGCCTATAGTCCCAGCTACTCGGGAGGCTGAGGCAGGAGAATTGCTTGAACGCAGAAGGCAGAGGTTGCAGTGAGCCGAAATCCACTCCAGTCTGGGTAACAACAGCGAAACTCCGTCTCAAAAAAAAAAAAAAAAAAAAAAAAGAATGTTCACAAGGGCCCTTTACAAGAGGCAAAGAAGATGTTTCCATCTTACAGAACTAGTGAGCCCGAGGAGCCTAGATGACTTTTTAAGGCCCCGTGCTAGACTGAATCCTGAGAACTCATGGTACCTGAAGACAAAGGCCTGGCTAGTGGCAGAAATCCAGCCTCTTTCCCAGAGACCGAAGGCGAGCTATGAGGGACATGCTGGCCTTTTGAAATACGAATGATTGATGCTTCTGATTCCAATCGTAAAACCCGTTATAGTGGGCTTGAAAACACAGAAGAGCATGAGGAGGAAAACGAAGATCAACCATAATTCCAGTTTTTTCTGTTTTTCTCTCTGGACTATTCTGCATTTGTTAAATAATGAGGAAGTACATATAAACAGAAACAAAGGTGAATTTTCTCCCATCTCCCAGACTTCAAAACAGAAGAAAAACATCACCTATTATCACATTATTCTGAAATAATCAAGAAATCTATATTCATATTTGGGTATGTCTCCATCCTCCCTCCTTTCTCTCTCTTTCTCTCTCTCTCTCTCTCCCTCTCTCTATAGATCTATCCACATATATATATATATATATATATATATATATATATATAGAGAGAGAGAGAGAGAGAGAGAAAGTAATATATACTTCATTTTCCTCCTCATGTTCTTCTGTGTTTTCAAGCAGATAGACATACACATATATGAGAGAGAGAGAGACATATATAAGTATGTCTGCTTGAAAACAAAGAAGAACATGAGGAGGAAATGAAGTAATATTATGTAATATATATTTAATATTAGTTAATATATTACTTAGTATATACTATATATCTAGTATATATTGCTTAAATACTCCCTCTCCCTCCAAACTAAAGGTAAATGCAGGGACTTTGGACCCCCGTTCCATCCTTCCATATGCCATGTAGCCTACTCCCAGGAGCCCTGGGGTGCCAAGATTACTCCAGGTGGGACTCTGCTCTATGTACTCCTTCAACAGGTTTCTTGGGGGGACCTTTCAGCCATCAACTGTCAGCAAAGCATCTCCAAATATGCTTGTTCTCAGAAAAGCTGTCTGTTCACCTCTGATCCCATCCAAGGGATCTGTCCAGTAGGGCCTTATTCTCCTCTTACCAAACTCCTGTCTTCCTGTCCCAACCTGGCATTCTTCCCGATGGTCTCACTGCCTTCTCATTTGGGGCAGTGGGAAATGCTAGTGCAACGAGATGGACATTTTTATCCCTGCATCCTCATGTCCCCTCCAAAGCAGCTGGTACTGCTTTAAAACTCTCTGGAATTAATTGGTCTCTAAAAGCAACATCTTTGGCTCCCTGGCCTCTCAGTGTTATTTTATTGTAAAAATACAATATATCAGGTACACAGGCCCCTGAAGAGGAGGCGCCAGGCTCTCTCTGTTCCTTTGGTTTCTCATTAGATTCCAGGGATGCGGGCCAAGGACAAAACAAACCCTCCAGAGTGCCTTCCCAGGGACCCCAGGGCCCACAGGCCTGGCCTCCATGTGTGGCTGCAAACAGACACTAGCACAAGGAATGGTTCAGGCAGGGGCTGTTCTTCTCCAAAGGACCCTCTGTTCCCTTTGTCCCTGACCCCAGCCCTTGGCAGTATGCATGGATGTTTGACCCAACATCTCTCTTCAGACTTTGAAAAATGAAGTAAAGGAAGGATTGTTTCCAAAATAGAGGGAAAGGGGCCTCTGCCTTGCAGCTTTAGCTAAGTGGGAAAATGAAAGGGGAGAGCTAGATGTCCCTGTGAACCTCTTGTCTCACTCCTTTCCCCTTTCCCACCTTGCTTTCTTTTTTCCACAACCTTTTATTTAGCTAATGATATTAGGAACTAATGTTTCTAGAGCATGGACTGTGTGCCAGGCACAATGTTAAATGCTTGGCATTCATTTTTTAATTTAAATACTATCACCACTCCATGAGAGCTGTACATCCCATTTTCCAATGAGAAATCTCAGAAGGCTGTGTAGCCTCACCTGTACATGAACTATGTCTCAGGTCATATAAACGAAAGGGGGTTGAAGTGACAAATAAGGCATGATCCTTGCTCTCCAGGGGCCTGCAGTTGTACCGTAGAGGTAGAAGGGGTGTTGATTATTTTCAAAGCAGTACAGGAAGGAGCTGGAATAGCAAGTGTAAATTTGGCAGGCAGAATCCAACTGCTTCTATTTAATTTCCATTGCCAAAATTCACTCCCCTTTCTGTGCATGTTGTTCCCTTTACCTGAGATGTTTTTTCTTGTCAACCCACCTGTTCTTTCCCCACTGGAAAACCTCTGTTTATCTAAGGTCCACCCCATATATCCTGCCTCCCTAAAGCCTTCCTCCTGCCTCTCACCCAGACTTAAGTTTTTTACACTGTTACTCTGTTGTCCTCTCAGAGATGGTCACTATCACATTGTGTTTTATACTTTGAGTACAGAGTATCAGATCACAATCAATTTACTTCTTCATGATTTGTACCTCATGAGAGACATAAGATATACATATATATGCAAGTGAAAGGGTCGTATGCATGTTTCTCAAACTGCAGTTTATGAAAAAAATCCTATGATCAAAGAGAGAAACTCTGTATTCTATAACTCTACTGTAACTATACAAATTCCATTATCTCATTAAAAATTCTGGAAATTCCTGCAAAAGTGAAACCCATTCAATATAATGTTTCCTTAAACTTATTTACCCATGGAACTCTTTTTAATGAAATACCTAGCCACATTATCTTGAGAGGTAGTTTTCCATGGAATACAGTTTAAATAAGAAGTAGTTAAATAATAACTCTTCTTATTTAACTACAGTAAGTAAATGCAGGGTTTCATGAGTAGGATAGCATGCGCTATAATTTAGGTCACTGAATGATAAGGTCACTGTGGACTGGAATGGCTAGGGAGGACTTCTAGAAAGAGAAAGGTCTGAGTCGAGCCCTCTAGCAACCAGAGCAGTCTAACTACTCAGCAAACAACCCCAAGATCTCCATGGCTAACCCAATAAAAGTTCACCTTCAGTGTGGGCCATTAAGGAAACTGCTCCACATGGTCTTTTGGAAGCAAAGCTCTTTCCTCCAATGGCTGTACCCTCCTCCAACTCCTTGGAGCCCACTCATTCTGCCAGTGGATGGGAGAAGAGAAAGTGAGACTTGCTTCTGGGAAGTTTTCATGGGCCATGTCTGGAGATGACTCACATCCCTTCAATCAAATTCCATTGAGTAGAGCTTAGTCACATGGCCGCTACTAACTGCAAAGGAGATGGGGAAAAATACTTTAGCAATGTTGTCTGAACAAAGGAGAGAGGACAGATCTTGGGAAGCACCGGCAGCCTCTGCCACATAGACCCCAACTCCAGAGCTACCTATTCCCGTGTACTTGGTACCCACACTAGAGTCTAGGCTACAGATCTCCAGTAGAGAGGGCTTCTTAGTGAAGAAAATATCAGCCAACACAACTGTCCTTCTGTGTATATTTTTACTTCTTAATCCAAGTCTTTGAAACTGCTATTTTTTTTTCTTTTGAGATGGAGTTTCACTCTTGTCACCCAGGCTGGAGTGCAATGGCATGATCTCGGCTCACTGCAACTTCCACCTCCTGGGTGCAAGTGATTCTCCTGCCTCAGCCTCCCGAGTAGCTGGGATTACAGGCATGTGCTACCACACCTGGCTAATTTTTGTATTTTTAGTAGAGACGGGTTGACCAGGCTGGTCTCGAACCCCTGACCTCAGGTGATCCACTC